CACTAGAATCCTGTAGTAGCGTAAAATAATTTACTATACAATAAATTATCTTTTTTTATTTCTCTGAACGTTTTTTGCAATGAAAAACAACGAGTTTCTACGTTTTTGCATAATAGTCCGATAACAGATCGTCGGTGTTCCGATACTGGACAAAGCGAGGAAAAATGGCATAAATATTCAAAATTTCATTATGTCGTAAATATTTGAAAAATGGCTCAATTTTTTACTTCAAATAAAATTTAAGCCTTTTATCTTTATTTCAATTGAAAATCATTGCAGTTTCCTTGCTGGATTTCTGAGAATTTAGTTCTTCAAGTGCAACACTACATTTGCCGCGCTGTAAACTACCCAATTTTGGAAAATTAATTTTTGACTTACCTTCACTAAAAATTGTAAAGCTCCAAGAAAAACAGTTATTAAAAAAAGGCGCCAAAACCACAAAATCTTCGCAACATATCGGGGAATCATCGGAACCTACCGTTCTAATTTTTTATTTTTGTTTACAAAGAAAAAATTTGTGATGAAATTGAACTGTCTTGATACTGGTACTGTCCCGAAACTGGACAACATACTGTAGTAATTACCGACAACTACCTTCAACAACTGACAACAAGTAGACAAGCTCACAAATACCGACAACAAGCTCACAAATACCGACAACAAGCTCACAAATACCGACAACAAGCTCACAAATACCGACAACAAGCTCACAAATACCGACAACAAGCTCACAAATACCGACAACAAGCAAATACTGTACATGCTTTCATTGTATTCTTATAGTTATTTGTATTGTTACTGAGTTATTAAAATTGTTAAAAATTGTTTACTCTATGTCTGTGAACTTTAAGGTTGCACGAAACAGTCCTACAAAGTGTATGTGTGTTATCATACTCATAGAAATAATAGACATGCCTATTATTTGATTTCTATGGTGTGATTAAATGTGCCTATCTAAAAATGTTTATTAGAATTTCAATTTAGTACTACAGTATGAAGTTACGAACAGAAACTAGGTATAAATTATTTACATCAATTCACTTATATATTTTGGGTTCCTCATAACAGCCATGCATTCATACATTCATACAAATAGTTAAGAATACAATGAAAGCATGTACTAATTGCTTGTTGTCGGTAATTGTCGTGATATAAACACTTTATAATTGGGTTTTTATTTAATTTTATGTATTACGGTATTAAATTACCGAAAAGCCTTTAAAAACTTACCATTAAGACAGGCAGTTCTTTCATTCAAGCGTTGTCTCTTTATCCATGGTCGAATTTCCAGTACAGCGATGTAGCGAAATTTCGGGCCGTCTTTCACAACAAATAACATCACAATATAAAATCAATATAAACTGCACGTATTTTCCTCTTTACCACCGAATCGTTTTCCCTGTCCATTGAATTATAATTTCCAAAACTAACCAGTCGTTATAACGTAAAATAAGCGGGTATTTTGTGAACAGAAATGCCCTTTGAATCACACGAAGTAACTAGCGCCATCTTGTCTTCTCCAAACTGACCAAACCAAATTTTTCCCGCCAAAAACTTTCTTTGGTGAAGGCGAAGTCCCGTATGAAACTGACGTCACAGGTATCATTGAGCATGCGCACTATATTTGGTGATCATATGTTTCAAAAATAGGCACTAAATCCAATTTTAATCTCTTTATTTTCGCTCTCCACATATTATTCGACCCATCTATGATTGCAACACAACAATTTTTGCCCGCTGAACATTCTAAAGTCAACAAAATTTTTAAATATGAAGTGTTTTTCATAATTTATAAAAATATGTTCTTCGGCCGAACATCGGGAAAATCCGAAGTTGTCTTAGCCACTGAGCTGTATACAGCACTGGATGTTTGTCTGTTTTATTTTCATGTTCAGAAGTTACTTCATGTAACCATGCTTGTTCTGGCTCAAGTAACATGGCCGCTCAAATTTTCAAAAAAATCCGAGAAAAAATCATGTAAATACTAAATTAGGACATTAGGTAAGCGTAATACTCGATGTAGAGCACATGTGATCATATCGCATGTAAATTGGCGCTGTGGAAATTATTTCTATGGGTTAACCGTACCATTAAAACACTTGTTAGGCGTGTTTTTTATATCATAGTGATATCCGAGATATCATATCTAATTTCTGAAATGCTTGTGTTGCGCACTCACATTTTAAATATGATAAAACACTTCTACGCGTGTTTTAGATAGTACTTAAAATTCGCACAAAGTTCACCCGACTCTGCTATCTAGTGATATTGGCGATAATATTGTGTAGTTCATTATGTATGTTAACTCGCATGGTTACGTCATTGTCTTGTCACACATGACACCCAATAATTAAAGCGCTAGAAAGAAAAGTGAGGTGAACTTTATGCGCATTTAACTTTAACATAGGTTTAAGCGATTACGTACATTTCCTGGGCTCTGTGGTCCAGGCTGAACATAAAAGGGTGTTCACTATCTACGGGGGGGGGGCTTTGGACACAAGTTCAGTTTGAACATGGGTGATTGTACAGCTGGCCAGGGATATTCAATCATATTCTTTTAAGATTATTGTTCATGTTGCAACTGGAAATTGGGCTAGAACATATAACTGGAAATGAGATTGATAAGGTGGGGTAGGGGAATCTATAGCCCCTAGCCCCCTTCAGCCCCCTCTCATTCACAATTACATTGGCCCACCCCAAGAAACTGTTTTAAAACTCTGCCCCATCTCCCAATCCAACCGGCCCACCCTCCCTCGTAAATAATAAGCGGTTCCTCTTAATGGAACTTTTGCAAGAATATGCCATGAACGTATACAAACATTACTTTTTTTGGTAACTACTTTACAGTGTTCTGGGAATTCAACCCAGAAACGAACGAGTACTGTGTCGTCGCAATTTTCAAGACTAGATCAGTGACTATATTGATAAGGAAATTTAATTGTCTGGTACTATATTGGTTAGAAAATTCTAATTTATTATTTGCAACTTTAATTGTATTTCAGCAAAATTGAATCGTTGCAAAAAAGTCAACCCTAAAGAGAAAATTTCTGCTATCTGAAGGGGGAGGGGAGAAAAGGTTGTTTCTGATAATAGTAAATGTACTAGGGATGTTCGAAGCTCTAGGGTAAAGGGGTTAATTTAAATTCCTCTGTGGGGAGGTATGGATGTTTTCTGGAATGATCCAGATTGTTGAGAAAAATATGCCCGAGTCATGTAGATGGCACCCCCTTTGCAAACCACTGTTTAATTCAAAAGATGGAAAATGGGGTCTAATGATGTGGAATATTATAATTACTGCATATATTTCAGAGCATGCAACTCCATTCACAGAATATAAAGACACATGCACTCAACGACGAACATGAAAATATACAACAGCTATATAATCCATTTTTTTCTATACAGTACTAAATTCGTTCCGAACACGGACACCGTTTTTTGTTTTGGAATTTTTAGATATTTTGCCAAATGAAAAATGCATAATCACCCAAGGAAAACCAGAAGTGCCATGCACGGTTGCTGTGAATGGCAAGATCTGGTGAAAAACCTTGACGATTATGAGTCCGGATACCGAAAACCGCAGGGAGGACCCCGCCCACTTACACAGCCGAATTAACTATAATATTTATATACCACACCTACCCATACCTACCAAAATCCAGAAAGGTAAAAATCTTGCAAAAAAAAGTCCAAAAAATCTCACAAGATGTTCAAAAAAACATTGTAGACCACCCGAAAATTCAGTCTACAGATTGCGCAAGATAAATATCCCTTTTTATGAACAAATTGTTCCACATAAGGTATATTTATCTTAACCTTGAAACTTGAAAATATTTCAAATATGTTCAGGACAAGGTGCGTGGCAAATGAATCCAACAGCCCAACAGATTTTACGATAGTTTGTAAATTGTAGAAGGTGTTAGGACAATTGGATGCATTTTGAAGATGTGATGTGTGCATTTCTATATTTGGATTTTTGGCGCATTTTGCTATCGCGCGCAAGAAAATTGCACCGCGCGCACTCAATTTAAATATAGCATGCACTGATTTTCATGCCCTTAATATTACCTAGCATGCAAGTTAGCGCGTTTGATTTTAATAAGCATGAAACGCGCACACTCAATTTAAATACAGCATGCACTGATTTTCATGCCCTTAATTTTACCTAGCATGCAAGTTAGCGCGTTTAATTTTAATAAGCATGAAACTTTGCGCATGAACCTTTGTTTCAAGTCTAGACTATATAGAGCACACTTCACTATTTGCACATGGAGTACACTCACCGACTGTACTCCGCATTACAGCCTCACGCGCGCGCTGCTTATGTTAATTAGCTGCGTTCGACCATGATGTTCTGAATATGATCCATGGTTGGACCAAGCTTATGTATGAACAATGCAAGACAACACGGAATGCAACATGGCAAACATTCTATATTGCTATTGCGACCATATATAAACTTGATCTGCAGAGTGTTTTCACGGCGGCTATGTTTGGGAACAAGTTAAGGTGCCGAAATACAAGGAAACAAGAAAACCATTATTTTGAAAACTTGTCCATCAACAAAGCAACCCATGAAAATACCCTATTTTCCCTGGCGGTCTTTTCAACTGAAAACTTATAGTACAATTTATAAAGCGCGCGCGCAATGCATTAGCAACCTAAAGAAACGAGCCTATTCTCCACTTTGGAGCGAGAACTACGTTTCTTATCATTAAGCTCCTAATCCAAGATATTTTAGGCAGAAAATTGTTTCTTTTTTGTTGTTTTTTCTGCAACGAGTATTCTTGGACTATTGTTGCTTATATTCAAAGTGGCTTCGCGGTTTCTTTTTTATTTTTCTCTTTTTTTGCAATATTTCCTTTTTTTCCACTTTGATTTGGTTCTGTAAGTATTTTTCTGCAGGGAAACAGATTCCATTTTCCTGTTGTTTTAAATACTTCACAGAAAGTTACTGGCGCAAAAGTATGACGATAATATGAATTATTTAGTATACATGCATGCCTTATAGTATGCATGCAAAGAGAAGCAAAAACGCCCTATTCCTAGCTGCCTGACCTTCCTAACTAGTGCGCGCGCGCATATAACCTTTCAAAAACCTGCAAGGGAAACCCCCGAATGTGGAGTCTCGGTCATGCCCCTAGCTTAACTTAACTTAACCTAGTGTGCCATCGCACCTGGTGAGCTTCCACAAACAGGGGTAAGGTTTGCATGCCTTATGTTAATTTCTTCCATTGTCGAGCCGCCAAAACAGAGAGGGGACCTAATCTCTGGTAGCGAACTGTTTTCATATAACCTGGGGCAGAAAACTAACGTTCGAAACCAGCGATATACATGCACTACGGGCGATGAAAGATACAACTTTCCAAGACAATATACCGCCAATTTATTATCTTTACTTACTAAAGCCTAGACTATTTATCATTACAATATCATGTCATTACAGTCTTAAACTGATCTTTTTATCTTGTCCAACGATATCCACCAATCTTCTTACGGGTACCATTTGCACCCTCTAAGCTATGGATACCATTTGCACCCAGTTTAGTTATCCTATCCAAGGAAAACTCTGCCAGCTTTTCAACAAAATTTTACCTACACCCATATATTACATACACAAATATACAGATCATGTAATGAGTTAAGGTTAAGGTTATAGGGTTAGATTTAACCCCAAGCCAAAGCCTAACACATTTCATGATATTTCTATACATTTATGAACATAACATATTGATATAAACAAAATTTTTAAGTCTGTCAAGGTTTTACTTGTCTGCCTATATTCTGGATACTAGTTGCGCGCTGCGTTTATCCATGCACAGAGACGGAGACACCTAAGCAGTACATTTACACAAAGAGAAGAACATTGGCACGAACAGACCGCAAATAGCTAGAGTGGGTCTCAGTACGAGTTTCTAGAGTGAAAAAATAATGTTCACTGTTTTTTACTTTATGTAGCAGTCTTGTATTTGAAGCAAAATAAATTGGTCCAGCAGGTGTCAAAATTTCTGATATTGACAATCGTTTGGATTGTAACACTTACTGAAACCCACCAATAATCGAACCGAGTGCATGCAACGAACCACGTGACCGGAAGCTCAAATGTTAATCTCTTAAGATTGACTTTCGATTGCAGACGATGTCGAAATTCTGATTAACTGAGGTGAAAATTGTACCTCATTTTTTATTAGCATGCAAACATCTGAATAAAAGTCAACCTTGTGTGCAAATGTACAACTAACGACAGACCGCCAGGTTTTTTAAACCGTTTTATCCCAGAGACGTCACCGAACACATGCAAATTAGAGTCCTGGGTAACTACTGCCTGATAGCAGGCTAACCCTTAACTACTGCCTGATAGCAAGTTAACTACTGCTTGTTATCAGACTAATACTCTAACCTTGAGGCAGTCGTCTCGTTCCCGTCGTGCAGCTTTCGTTATCAAGATACATCGGTAGGTTAACCGTCGATCGCGAGGTACATTTTATCCACAAATGTTCACAATAATCCTGAAGTGTTCGTTGTAATCCATCAATGTTCATTATAATCCATTAATGTTCACAGTATCGATCTCCAATAGTAAACAGTAATCCGTATTTATCCACTGATATCCGCTACGACTCCCACGGGACCTCCCATCCGACACCTCAAATGACGTTTTGGTCAGTTTTAAATTTTATTGGTTAATTTTTTTAATACAATCATATATCTGCGAGCAACACATTAACTAGTCAAAAACCATGAGATTCTTGAAAGATTAAACCTCAAAGAACGTTTACATAAAAGATATCCGCGCCCTTTTCAACAAGCCCCCCGGTTTCATTATCCATGGACAAAACTTGGGAATTTTATGAAGGAGTGGCAAGCATATCTAAATTTTGTTCGCATGACAGTGACAAATCCACCCAAGTTACCCCGCCATCCTTCATTTCCTTCACAACGAATAGAAACATTGGTTTAGCGCAAATTTGTGCAAACACCAATAACCATGAAAATGATTATACAATACAACAACCGATACCAACCATTGTGCAACCGAGAAAAAAGAAATATCCTGTTTCTTCGGTAAACAGGAACTGCAGTAATCTGATTCGAATTCCTAGACTTAAATCAGTTAAGACTAAACAAGTGTTACCTAATATCTTGTCTCTTAATGCGAGATCTATTTTAACAAAAACTGACGAACTGGCTCTTGTTATTCACAATCAAAAATCAGACATAGTAATGGTGTCCGAAACTTGGCTTTCCGATGTTATCCCAGACGAAGCACTACATTTTCCGGGCATACCAGGCTTCAGTGTAATAAAGAATGACAGGGTTAATATGAGAGGTGGTGGTGTGGCTGTCTTCGTTAAGGATACGATCCCGTTTAAAATCCGCCATGATTTTACTTGTCCGGACTATGAATGTTTATGGATCATACTACGTCCAAAATGGCTCCCCAGATCAATCTCAAAAATTGCCTTGGCATGCGTTTATTTACCCCCATCGCTAAATTCTGGAGCTATTGAGGAATTTTACGACTATTTCTGCAGCTGCTACGATGCGCTTACAAGTGAAAGTCCGAATTTATCAATTGTTGTTGCTGGGGATTTCAATTCTGTGAGCAACGGTTTTCAGGAGAAGATAATTACGAACAACTGCCGATTAAAGCAGGTGGTGAAGAAACCAACAAGGGGAACAGCAATTCTTGATCTTATATTTAGCAACGTTCACACTTTATATGAGGAACCGGAGGTGCTTGCCCCGCTTGGTAGTTCTGACCACTGCATGATCGTTTGGAGACCAAGAGTTCGAACAGTGAATAAGAACATAACAAGGAAAATCATTACTCGACCGATAAAGAACTCCAGTCTTCAGTTATTTGAAGATCTTATCAGCCTGCAAAACTGGCCAATGGTATATAACTCTCCTTGCATAAATGGCAAAGTAGATGCCTTTCTGTCTGTTACATCAGAGATGATTGATACTGTTTTCCCGTTGAAAACATTTAAAGTGCATGAGGACGATAAACTGTTTATATCTGGAAAAATTAAACAAATGATTTCCAAAAGAGACAAATTGTATCAGCGGGGAAGAACTGACGATTTTAAATCATTGCGTAATAAAATCGTTTTGGAAATTCGAAAGTAAAAACACAAACTATACCACGAAAAGATTAAACCTGCCCGTGTCCAAGATCCCAAAACATGGTGGAAAAACATTAAAAAAATAGTTGGAAAGAAACAACAAGGCTTTACTCTCATTAATCCTGCAACTGAGGCTCCATTAAACCCGAAAGAGACCGCTTGTCACATGAACGATTTTTTTACTAACCTCACTAGCGACTTTTCAGAAGTAAAAAGTGAATGGCTTCATGTTGGACCCTATGAACCCTTACCATATATTACGTTTGACAGCGTTGTGAACAAGCTAAGCAGCCTTCAAGTAAACAAAGCAGTGGGTCCCTTTGACCCTAACACAAAGATAATCAAGCTATTTGCAAAATATTTTGCAGGGCTTCTAACACACATATTTAATGAGTCCTTTTCTTGTCGGCTCTTCCCGGATATATGGAAAGTATCCAAGGTGTGTGGAATACCAAAGATCAAGCCTTGCTGTTCAGTAGATCTTCTGAGACCAATTGCACTAACAAGTACCTTGTCCAAAGTCCAAGAGTCATACGCCACCAAATGGATTTATGAAGATGTTCGGGAAAAAAATAGTGAATTCCAGTTTGGCGGCCTTCCTGGTACATCTGCAGTTCAAGCCTTGATCTACTTACTGCATAAATGGCACTCGGCAATGCACACTCCAGGAAAGGTCATTAGAATTGTTTTTCTTGATTTTCGGAAGGCGTTTGATCTTGTAGATCACAACAAGCTTCTTGAGACCTTCACTGGAATCGGTGTACGGCCCGCATTAGTGGGTTGGTTTGCGTCCTATCTACATGGCAGATCGCAATTTACATCATTTCAAGGGGAGCAATCAGACCTGCGAAAGATCAGGGATGGAGTCCCACAGGGTAGCAAGCTGGGTCCAATAGCATTTATCCTAAAAATTAACCATCTCCCACAAGTCGCTATACCTAATGAGCAGGAACAGATATGTGAAGCATCTGATGATCAAGATATAGCTATGTTCGTTGATGATAGTACATTGTCCGAAGTCATTACCATAACTCAACATTCATCTGGTAGTCCAATTGGTAACACCCAACGAAGTGTAAATAACGTAGTGCAATTTGCAAAGGATGAGAGTATGGAACTGAATGGGAAAAAATGTAAAGAAATGCTAATTGATTTTCGGAAGAAGAAAACAGAAATACCACTGATTAATATTGGCGACGATAAAATATCCCGTGTAAAGTCGTATAAATTGTTAGGAATATGGATAGACGATGACATGAGATGGAAAACCAACACTGAGTA